AGACTAAAGTACATCAATTCTCAAACGCCGCCGTCAATCATAATAACAATAATAATAATAAACTGATGAAAAGGTTTTCTTAAATTGTTTCAATTACTGAAAGAAACTTTTACGTTTGCTTAAAATTTTTATTTTACGTTTTACGTTTGACGACAAGTTCCATGAAAATAAACAAGTAAGAAGTGTATAATGCAAAGTCACCTGACTGCTAGATACTCTCTACCTCGTAAAATAACAACTAAGAAGCTTTACCCAAAATTAAATAAAAAATATTATTACTATAAAAGATTTGTAGTCGTAAAAGGTACAATAATAATAATAATCAATAATTTTCCCATTCTCCATTCTCGTGCAACCCCTCTGAAAACAGAGTTTAATTAATCAAACAAAACAGCAACTTGGGCACTTATCTAATTAACTGTGTGAAAGTAAACGACCAAAATGTAGCCCAAAAGTCTTACTTTAAATACGTGAGCAGCATATTAAATAAAAACGGGCTGCCAAAAATTGAAGAAATATTCAGTTAAGCCAAAATTGAATTTCATTCCAATTCGATAAATACAATACAATAAATATATTTTATAATTTAAACTGCGCGCGCACAATAAAAAAGTTTAAAAACCTAAAAATTCGTCATTTCCGCAAAATTTCGATAACAGATATAATACAATCACATAATCTATCATATATAAACTGATACAATTGATTTGACAAGCTTTAAACCGAACTTTTAAAAGCAAATAGAGCTTGTGCTATTTAATATAATGGCGCTAAGAACTAGCTAACCAAATTATGACTCATGTCAGCTGCGTAGGCTGGCAAGTTTTTGGAGGGGTTATGAAACAGAGAAATTCATAAACGGAATTAATAATTGAATTATCATAAAAATTAAAACTGTCTTCAATTTCAATCAACTGCAAAGCATGAAAGAACGAAGGAGATTTAACACCCTTGTGGCTTTAAAATCTCAGGAAAGCTTCTTTTCGACCGGTTGCACCTATAGAAGCCATATAATGTAAAAGTCCTATTTATTGAAGTTTAAGTTTGGTAAAGATATTTTGAAAAACAAATAAGTTGTGCATACAAAAATATTAATTTCGACCGATCGTTCTATATAATATAGAAGATCGATCCGGCTAACCCGACATACATACGGCCTGCAACAGAAAGGCAGACTAAAAGTTATATGATGAGAGCTACAAGCTGAGGTGATTTCTATATCGAAATGAAACGGAACAAGAATATAAATACTTAATGGGATCTGGGACGATTTGAACTATATATTACGCATTTTATGACAAAGGTATAATGTCCTCTACAAAGAATATAAAAATTGAACAACAAATGAATCTCATCATCAAAAAAACAAGCCCCCTTTGTCTACGCCACTGACCGCAATGCAATTTCATTTGCTAACCTAGCGTTCAGCTTTTGAAAGCTTACAAAACTTTCGTAGCGAAAGGAAAGCTTTCCGATGAAAGCCGTAGCTGTTATTTCCGTTATTATGAAATGAATACATTGAACGTGCTTATAAGCGCGGCGGCAACATGAGATGTTCCAGAATGTTCTTCGACTCGTTCAAAGCGCGCCAATGTGAGCGCGAAATTTAAATAATTTGAGTTTAAGCTGGAAGTGGTAAATTTTTCAAAATGGTGAAGTTCTCGCTGGACGAAATACGTGGCCTAATGGACCAGAAGCGTAATATACGCAACATATCCGTTATAGCCCATGTGGATCATGGTAAATCCACGTTGACGGATTCGCTGGTCACCAAAGCGGGCATCATAGCGGGCGCCAAGGCGGGCGCCATGCGCTTCACCGATACCCGCAGCGATGAACAGGAGCGTTGCATTACGATCAAATCAACGTAAGTTGATTACAAAAATAACTTTAACTGGGTTCCTAATGGTATCCCTCCCACGCTCAACAGTGCCATCACCATGTACTTTGAGGTTAAGGACAAGGACTTATGCTTTATCACGCAACCCGATCAGCGAGAAAAGGACACAAACGGGTTTCTTATCAATCTAATCGATTCACCTGGTCACGTGGATTTCTCCTCGGAGGTGACGGCCGCTCTTCGCGTTACGGATGGCGCCCTCGTCGTTGTGGACTGCGTCTCCGGAGTCTGTGTGCAAACGGAAACGGTGCTACGTCAGGCAATTGCGGAACGCATTAGACCAATTCTGTTCCTTAACAAAATGGATCGTGCTCTGCTCGAACTACAATTGGACACGGAGGAGCTGTACCTAACATTCCAGCGCATTGTGGAGAATGTTAACCTCATCATTGCCACCTACAATGATGAAAGTGGTCCCATGGGCGAGGTATCTGTTGATGCCTCAAAGGGTTCCGTTGGCTTCGGTTCGGGTCTGCACGGCTGGGCCTTCACGGTGAAACAGTTCGCCGAAATGTACGCCGATAAGTTTAAGATCGATGTGGGTAAATTGATGAAGCGGTAAGTACTTTCTTCTAACAATGAGAATTTTTTAATGTTTTAATAGGGAACGTTTATTTTTGTTGTTGAAAAAAGTTTAACTTTCAACTAAAAACAGTTTAAGAAATTATCAAATTCTATTTTATCCCACTAAAGGTTTCTAGAATCCTTTTGATAAATTGTTATCTACATTTTAGTCTTAGCCTTTAGTCTTTCTTAGAAACACGAAAAATCTTTTCTTTTTTTTAAATTTTAAAATCATTTGATAATACATATGTCCCATTTATATTTTAATTATATAATTTTACTCACAGCCTCTGGGGCAACAACTTTTTCAACACGAAGACAAGAAAATGGCAAAAGCACCAGGATTCGGATAGTAAGCGCTCATTTTGCCTATACATATTAGATCCCATCTACAAGGTATTCGATGCCATTATGAACTATAAAACGGAGGAGATATCCGGCTTGCTAGAGAAAATTGGTGTAAAGCTACAGCCCGAGGAGCAGGAGCAGCAAGGCAAGGTGCTGCTGAAGACAGTGATGCGCAGCTGGCTGCCAGCGGGCGAGACCCTTCTTCAAATGATTGCTATCCACCTGCCTTCGCCAGTGATAGCCCAGAAATATCGCATGGAGCTGTTGTACGAGGGTCCGCAGAGCGACGAGGCGGCTATTGCGATTAAGAGCTGTGATTCCGATGGTCCCCTGATGATGTACATCTCAAAAATGGTGCCCACCGCGGATATAGGGCGCTTCTATGCTTTTGGTCGAGTGTTTGCCGGCAAGGTGGCCACCGGACAGAAATGCCGCATTATGGGCCCCAACTATGTGCCCGGCAAGAAGGAGGATCTGTACGAAAAGGCAATTCAGCGCACGGTTCTGATGATGGGTCGCTCTGTGGAAGCCATTGAGGATGTGCCAGCGGGCAACATTTGCGGTCTGGTCGGCGTGGACCAATTTCTGGTTAAGACGGGCACAATCACAACCTTTAAGGAGGCACACAATATGAAGGCAAGTGAAATCCACGTAAATCAATCGAAAAACTCATTTTCATTTTAAAACCCGCAGGTCATGAAGTTCTCCGTGTCGCCAGTTGTGCGTGTTGCCGTTGAGCCCAAGAATCCAGCCGATTTGCCCAAGCTAGTGATTGGTCTGAAACGTCTGGCCAAATCCGATCCCATGGTGCAGTGCATCATCGAAGAGTCTGGTGAGCATATTATAGCTGGCGCCGGTGAATTGCATTTGGAAATTTGCATCAAGGATCTGGAGGAGGACCATGCGTGTATTCCTCTGAAAACGTCAGATCCTTTGGTATCATATCGCGAAACTGTCTTGGAGCAGTCCAGTCAATTGTGCCTGTCCAAGTCACGCAACAAGCACAATCGCCTTACCATGAAAGCTGCACCCATGCCCGATGGCCTGGCTGAGGATATTGATAACGGCATTGTGTCTGCCCGGGATGAGTTCAAGAAGCGCGCGCGTTACCTGAGCGAGAAGTACGACTATGATGTGAGCGAAGCGCGCAAGATCTGGTGCTTTGGTCCTGAGTGCAATGGTCCGAACATAATTGTGGACTGTACCAAGTCGGTGCAGTACCTGAACGAGATCAAAGACTCGGTAGTTGCCGGTTTCCAATGGGCATCCAAGGAGGGCGTCTTGGCCGAGGAGAATATGCGTGGGGTACGCTTCGATATACACGATGTGGTTGTGCATGCTGATGCCGTGCACCGGAGCGGTAGCCAGTTAATTCCAACGACACGACGCTGCTTATACGCCTCAGCCATCACGGCGAGTCCGCGGCTCTTGGAGCCGGTGTATCTGTGCGAGATCCAATGCCACAATTTGGCCGTTGGTGGCATACACAAAGTGCTGAGCCGACGACGTGGTCATGTCTTTGAGGAGGCACAGGTGCCGGGCACACCCATGTATGTGGTAAAATGTTATTTGCCCGTCAACGAATCCTTTGGTTTCACAGCCGAACTGCGTACCAATACACGCGGCCAAGCCTTCCCACAATGTGTGTTCGATCATTGGCAGCTGCTGCCGGGTGATCCGTGTGAGCCCAGCAGCAAACCCTACCAGATTGTGCAGAATACGCGTTTACGCAAGGCTCTCAAGCCAGGTCTGCCCGAACTTGCACAGTATTTGGACAGATTGTAAGAAATTCAAATATCTAAGCTCCTTAAACTTATCCATGACTTTGTTTTGTTAAAATTTTTAGTAACACACTTTTTACACCAAAACATATATTTATTATTTATTTTGTGTTCATTATACAGCCCATGTGTGATACTGATGTATGTAATAAGTATATGCATGTAAATACATTGAATATACTTATTGACATACATATTGTTTGTGTAATTAAATTATTTATTTATTTTATTAAAATGATTTTTTCACTTTGAAATTGAATGTTTTTTGAATGTAACGGGTTTTCGCCTTCAAATTGCATGTAATCGAACCTTATCGATAGGTTGAAATATTGTAGATACCAAAAGTATCGCAAGCTACCTGCACAAATATCGATATCAATCATGTGCCAGTGCAGATAGCGCTGCGAATGTTGCCGCCTGCAGTCTGGAGTTGCTTTCATAACACTCAAAAAAAGCTAAATATGTCCGCTGTGGAACAGGATCCCGTAGAATTAATGCTTAAGAAAACGGGCTGCATTGAGCTACACTACAAGGTACAGGAGTGCATCGCAGAAACGGGAGACTGGCGCATGTGCCAGGACAAAGTCAAAGAGTTTAAGGCGTGCATGCAAAACTACGTGGACCAGCAGAGCAAAAAGTACGCCAATGTTAAATAAGATCAGACAAAAACTCCTAAGCACCAGCAGCTGCGCCGCAACCAAACTGGCGCTCGTCGTGCGCGGCGACCTCAAGATGAGCAAAGGCAAAACGGCGGCACAGTGCGCCCATGCCGCCGTCATGTGTTACCAACACGCTGCACAGGGCAGCGAGGCGCAGCACGCTCTGCTGCAACGTTGGTGCCGCATGGGGCAGCCGAAGATTGTGCTGCGCGTGGACAGCTACGAGCAGTTGAACGGACTGCAGCTGCAAGCACAGCAAGCAGATGTGGTAGCCGCATTGGTGAGGGACGCCGGACGCACGCAGCTGGAGGCTGGCACAGCCACGGTGCTGGGCTTGGGACCGGCAACAGCTGCCGAACTCGATAAACTAGTTGCTCATTTGAAACTTTTATAAATAGCATTTAAACTACTAATTTTTTGTTTTAATATTGTAGTTAATGAAAGGAAACAACAAACCCGATTTGGAAAAATTATGCCGTCTTCTTGCCGCCGGACATTGTGGATATGGTTAATGACACGGCTTGACCAAACATTTCCACCAAATCCGATGTTACACGCTCGGTTATCTGACGCAGTTTTCCATTTGATTCACCACAGATCAGGCGCTCAATTCGCGGCGTAGGACACTTCACCACCACTGAGGTGTAAACAACATCTGCAATATCAAAGACAGATTAAAAACAGAACTAGTCAAGCCTGCTATACATACGCTTCTCCACATTGTAGTATTCCAGCTCGCATTTCAAATTATAGGGTATCTCCTGCGGCAGGTAGTCCAGCAAACGTGCGCGCACACTTTCCACAATTAGCGACTCGGGCTTTTCATCCGTGTAGACGTTGGCAGCGTAACGCCAATCTCTTGACTTGGCGGCGCTAATCAAATAGTCCTGCAGCTCTTGCAGGCCACTGCCTGTTATTGACGATACCAGGAAAACATCGCTAAAATGATTCCAACTAGTTTCACGCTTATTTAACGGATGGCCCGCCGTCGCCTGTTCTTCCTTGCTGGGCAAGTCAACTTTTTTGCTTGGACGCTTTCCATTGAGTGTATCATTCGTCAGTGTCTTGATAAGATCTAAAAGCACACGCTTTGATTTTAAGGCATCAACTTTGTTGAGAACCAGGAAACTGGGCAGCTGAGCATAGGCCTTCAACGTGTCAAGCACTGTGGGATGCAACTCCTTGCGCGTCCAGCTGTTGGAGGCATCCTGCATAACAGCTATAATATCTGCATGTTGAATGGCATGGCGATAGGCGCTCTTGAAGTTCTGGTCTAAATGATGTTTCCGTATCTCGTTCTGTGTCACCAGTCCGGGCGTATCGTAGAAGACGAGCTGCGTCTGGCCCGTCGTAAGAATTGCGGTGTTCGCCTTGCGGGTTGTATGCACCTTGGCCGAGGTGGGGCATACCTTAAATAAAGATTGGGTTAGTTTGCAAATTGTCTACTAATTGTTATGTCTCACTTTGTGATTAATAATGTTGTTGATGAAGGTGCTCTTGCCCACATTTGGAACTCCGATTACGGCTATGTGAAGCGCTCGCTGCTGTTGAGGATTCTTGTTGTCGTTTTCAACTGCTTCTATGACTGGCGGCGGTGGTGTCACTTGTGTATTTTCTCCATTGGTCTGTATTGTGGCGGACAAATTACGATGCACACCTGTTGGCCGTAATATGTTTTTATTGCAATTAAGCAATTTTAAAGAACTTGTTAGCCAATATATGCGCATCGCGTTGGTGAGACTGGCAGGTTATCGATATACTAATACTAATCGTACGCCAGTTGCGTTTTAGCGGTATCGATACATTCAATGTGCAGAAAATGTGCGAGCTATCGTGTGTAATCAGTGTTGCCGACGTTGATTCAAAAAAACAGCTAAGTTCGATATTTAAATTAGCTAAATAAGCTATCTGGGCTGCTTTAATATATTGGCTGTTTAGCCGGAAACCCTTAAATATAGCCATTTTTAGCAAGTAGATAGCTGTAGGATTTGGTTAATAAACGTTCCTTTTTACTTTGCAAAAACAAAACAAAAATGAATATAAATATAATCGAAAAGCGGAATTTGAACTTAAGTACCTAACATTAACATTATTAATTTTGCATTGCATAGGTTACAAAGGCTGTCACAGTTAATATAATATAATTCAACATGCACGTCTTTTGAATTTGTTTTGTGCTTGCTTTACAGCTAAAATACCACAATTAAATACCAAATTAGGGGTTACTGAAGTAAAGGGACGTCTGAAAATCATTGCATTCTATAGCGCCGCACTATTCAACCAAAACTGTATCGTGCTCCTGTACTGAATAGAAATCCAATGTTTTAGCACTATTTTCCAATTGCACCACAAGCTCCGGATGTTTGGCATCTATATAGCACAGATGCGGCGTATCTCCGGCTATATGAAAACGCTTCATGACCAGTCCTTGTAATGTTTGCACAGTTATCATGCGGGGCACCTTCTTTTCCCAAACTTCACCCGTCTGCCGGTGCTGTATACGCACTTTAATGAGATTCGATTGTTTGGCTTGAATGCGCGGCACAAAATCAGCTGGCGATCCATATTCTGTGGCAATAAGAGGGAAGTTTAAAAATCGCATCGTTATAACATTGAATTACAACTTACTATTAACAATCAGCAAATAGGTACGATGTTTCTTGTAGAAATCGCGCAATGCATCGGCGCCCAATTTGGTTGCCTGCAGCCAGTCTAATGCATACTTTTTCCATATATCGTATTCGGCTCCACGTCGCTCCTCCGCTGTAACCTTTGCCTTATTGATAAACTGTATGCCGGCTATGCTGGCCACTGCCTTGGAAAACATTTCATCGAAACTCGACTTCAAATGCGGCGTCTTATTTAGGCGCTTCAATTGTGGCAATTTGTCCAGCTCGTTGAATGCCTCAGCCTGATTTAAACCAAGTTTTAAAACTAGAAATGATTTCAATTTGAATTGTTATTCACCTCATTCCATATGGGATTTTGCATTAAGCTCAGCTGCTCCAGCGATACAAACATATTTAGCTTTGCCTGCGGCTCACAGTCCGGCAGCTGCAGCTGCTCAATGCCGTTCTCAATAAGATTGAGGAAACGCAAGGTACGAATATTGCCCAGTTTACACACTTGATCAAAATCCATTAGTTTGGTGCGATGCAGGTCCAGTTCACGCAACTGCCTGAAAATGCGATTGCAGTCGACCACATCCAGTTGACTCAGTGCATTCTCTTGCAAGCTAAGCGATTCAATGTCCGGCCATAGCAGCGCCGTTTGCATCACATCCTGCCAATCCGTAAAGCCGCAATTTCCCAAATTAATGTGTTTCAAGTGACGAAATGCTGGGGCCAGCTCACTGATTTGTGTCTCTGTAGGCAACACCAGCCGATTGGAGCTGCCAAAAAAGTTATTTGTAAAAAGGTTACAGTTAAAGAAAAGACAGCAACTTACCCCAAGTTCAAGTTGCTGAGCATGGGCAGCTGCTGTGTTATGCTGGCCACAATCTCCCAATTCCAAATGAGCGTGTGGCTCACATTCAGCGTTGTCAGCTGCGTCAGATCCTTCAGGTAGCCGGCTGCATTCACTGGAGTATCGTCCACGCTCATCTCCGTCAGCTGTTCAAATTTGCTTTGCTTGCGCGCAATCTTGTCCATGCCCACAACTTCGAAAAGCGATGCTTGCATAGAGGCCTGAGCCTCGCGTATCAGAGATGGGTCCACATTTTTAGAATCGTAATTCAGATAACGCTCCCGTGCCTCATCCTCCAGCGTGGCACAGGGTCCCAGTTTGCCGGGGCGTATAAAACTGCCAGCTGTTGGCATTTGCGTTTGGAAATAACGCTTGCCATCGACAGTGCCATTGTGCTTGCCCCGCATCCCGTCGTCCCACTCAATGCCCAGCCATGTACCCAGGTGGCCGCTGACCTGCATCGGAATTGTTAGTTGCTTAAACGCATTGGAAATCATATTTGTAACAAAGCTTACCTCGCCCACGTATTTGACGGTGCCATAATTGTTGGCTATTTTGATGCGTGTGCCTAGTGGATAAAACAGCTGCGCCTCATCAATGATTCCAACCATTGTTGTTGTTTTTGTTGTTTTACAGCGCCTTCTACTTTGTGTATATATACAGCAAGCAAGCTTTTTACGTTTGGTAATTGTATCTTGTTTTACACTGTTGACAGCGTTTGTTGCACGCAATTCACATAAACATTCTTAAAATATGCATGCAATTTAATTTCAGCTTCAATTTTGTAACGAAATGGAAAATTCTTTATTATTGGAGTGATTGACTCACAGTAAACAAAACAGGGCTGTGAAATCCAGGGCTGGCAATTAGTGCTGGAGCAAGACTTTAAGTATCGCTTAACAAATAATCTGTCAATAGTCATTTTACGATATTTCCCACAGCAGCTGTCAGCTCTAAATAGGAGTATTTTTTATTTTCACGATACAGTCACACGCAAGAGCGGATGGGTTTTTTTTTGCAGTTCGATTGTCACATATATTTTTCCTTTTATTATTTGTTTGAATTAGGACAATTGTAAATAGTTAAACTTATAAATGCATTTATGATCAATAATAAAAGGCACGTCTTTGTTAAAGTGAACACGACGCACACTCAAACGCTGCCAAGAAACGATCGCACCGGTATGTAAACACTTGTGTATAAAAACAGGTGTAGCTGTGCGCTAGAAAGCGGTACATCCCCAAAATACGAATTCTCCAACGCTGAAAGCGTCAAGAGTGAGGGCCGCCATATCACAGTAAGTGCCACGTCAACTTTAAGAAAAGCTAAAAAGAAAACACGAAGGAGCGAAATACGAAACGAGTCGCGTCCGAAACACTTCTGCGTCTGTGTTGGAATTGCATTTGTGTGCGCCCTTCGCCTAAGAATTCAGTCTACAATTGGCAGTGGTAAAGTGCAGTAGAAGCAGATTTTAATTCGGAGAAGTGAACGTGAATATGGCGGATGATAAATTGGAGGTATTTAGTGCCCAATAAATAAAATAAAAATTCGCATATTTAAATTGCATGCTTTGCTTTAGGCACGCGGCTATCAACTGCGCCTGGTTGAGTACATAACTAGACGCAATGGCATTATTTATTTGCCCACCGGCTCGGGTAAAACATACGTGGCCATCCTGGCACTGAAGCGCTTCTCCCACAACATGGACAGGTTAGTGCATACTAACTACAAGTCTAAAACCAATTTAAAAAACATTTTATGAAAGAACAAATGAGTGTGCTGCTAAGAGATACCCTGCACACAACAATTCTTACACAAACACAAACGCGAACGCATGCATTTCACAATCTTCATGAGAATTGTTTTTAACAATTTCCGATTTATTGCCCGATTGTTACTAAGTTCGTAATTATTAACGTCTAAATAATAAACTAATTTTGTGCT